TCTACCAGCATGTAGCTTGAGTGTGTTTAACCACATTTTCTGTTTATCTGGACAGCTCTGAATGTCTCAAAATAGTTTGGATATGGTGCCCAGGGTCTTTCTGCACATTCTTGTCTGTTTGCCAAATCCTGTGCCAATCCTCATATCACTCCCAAGTCCCTGCAAGGCCAGGGAAGATGACAAATACTCGTTTCCTACCCATCTGGACCAAGCCCAGCCACATCTGAAAGCAGTATTGTCTCTTCTGTATTAGTCACTGGGTGCTACCCAGTGTGTCCAGCTTATGCAGACTGAGCTGTTTGTGCTTATGGTGTAATGGGGCAATGGTTTTAAACTAAGAGAAGGGAGATTAAGGCTGGACGTGAGGAAGAAATTCTTTACAATGAGAGTGGTAAAATAGCGGCACAGGCTGCCCAGAGAGGTGGTGGATGTGCCATCCCTGGATTCAAGGCCAAGCTGGATTCAAGGCCAAGCTAGATTCTGGGCAACCTGATCTAGTTCAGGATGTCCCTGCTCATTGCAGTGGCATTAGACTAGATGACCTTTGAAGGTCCCTTCCAATCCAAGCTGTTCTATGATTCTATGACTTGGTAGCTGTTGATACAGCCTTGTCCCAGCATAAGCCCAGCTGGCAGGAGCTCAAGGCTCTTTACACTGCATTACTCTGTGTCGTGTAGGCATGTCCTGCAAGAGTTAATCTGTTACTGCTTCCTGCCTTTTCATTTTGGTCACTGATCTTGAAATGGCTGTCCCATTGTCTCCTATCTGATACTGACTTTTCTTCTCCTCACAGATACAGTGCCATGCTACCAGATGAGAAAGCCAAGGCCAAAGAGGTCTGGCAGAAAAAATGGGACCAGTTTGTGGCTGACCTCTCTGATAGCTTTTCAAAGGAGCTTTAGAGAGCAGGAGACACATCTCAGAAGGCATTTGGCACATCAGAGCCAGCCAGACTTATTGCTAAGAGGGATGAATGAACCTCAAAGTCTGACCTGGCAATGGGCTTCATGGGCTTAATACTAAGAATGAGCTGCACTATCCTGTAAAAGTCATGGACTGGAGGTAAAAGGGAGCAGTTATAGCAACAGTGAAAGAACACCCTGCTCAAAATAGTCAAAACAGTTAAAAATTGCCAATGACCAAATCCTGACATCCTTATTCAGGAAAAACATGCTTTCTAATTAACATTAGCAGGAGATTGCTAACATGAGGATCTCTGAATTTCGCCTTATTGTTACAAAATGCAGACCTTGTCCGGAAACAGCTAAGACAAACATCCAACCATTTGGGCCACTGATCTTCAGGAGAGCAAGGACTGAAAATGGCTCTTGTTATGTTTAACCCTGGGCCTGCTGCCAAAATAGCACTGCTAGGTCGAAGAACCAGTCACAGGTCTGATGTCTGCTATTTCAGGACCTACCATGGCTGGAAACGAGCTGATGGGACTTGCTCCCAGAACATTTAAGCCTGGTTGTACAGTGATCACAAAGCTCAAAAGAGGTGCCTCAGCTGCTGACAGTTTTTTTTTTACTGCAAAATCTTTTCCTGTCTTCTGGTCACAAGGAAACCAAACCACTTTTCAGCTGAGAAAAAACACCCTGGCTTCCCAGATACAACTTAATTAAAACTGTCCCCTGCACTGAGCCATGTTAATACAGACCTCTGCATTTATAGGAGACACCATTTAATTTCAGGTTATTCATCTACCAGCTTTTTCCACCTTACTCAGAGTGCAAATGCGCCTTTATTCAGCCTGTCAGACATATTTTCATCTTGGTGGAGAACTACCCTCACACTGGATAACTACAGTGTTCTCTTGGACCTTTGTAGTTTTCAGCTCTTTAGCTAAAGGTATTGCAGAAACTACACAATAAATAGTGTCTGAAAAGCAGATTCCCTTTCTTAATATCATCAAAAATGTCAGGAGAAGAACTAGTTGTGGGGAGAAAGAAATCTTAATCAAGGATGATAAATTCAGCAAAATCCTTTGGCACACATAGCGCAAGCACACAGCCAGGATCAGCCAGCAGCTCTCCCTGACTTCAGTACAATTATGCTGGTTTGCATCAGCCAAGGGAGAAATTACAAAAGTTTCTGCAGGAAGACACTCTCCCTCATCTGATCTGCAGGCTTGTGAGGACTGTTGTTTCCTGATCAGACCAGCTTGGGCAAATTTGCTCTCTTCATGTTTGCTGCTAATTGTCTCAAGCTGCCTGGCCATAGTGTTTATTTCCACTGACCTTGGCTAAAACACCTTAAGGAGGAGGCAAGTATACTTACTACAGACCACACTTCACAGGCTGCAAGCTCATCTCTAGTTATCCCAGGGAAAAAAAAAAACAGCAACCACACTACAAACCCTGTAACAAAAAAAAAAAAACAAATAAACCCACAGCAAACCAAAGGCTTCTACATTGCAGAAGCCAGCATCACAAACCACAGGAAGCAGAAAGTGAGAACCCAGTCACACACCTCACTGACCAAGGGGGTTGAGTGTCTCACACCCTAAGGCTTTTTCAGCCACAGCTGCCTCTACTCCAACCCTCTCTGCCAACACCCTCCTCTAACGACAGCAACTGCTCTTTGCAGGCTGGCCTTTTTTGGGCCTTGATGAAGATTTGGTCCTGGGACCAGCTTTATACTGGAGGAGGAGCCAGAGTAGAGGCACCTTGCCTCCTCCTCCATGGGTGTAGTGTACACAGCTCAGTCTAGGGTCCCCAGGGTAGGCTTTGATCATGGTCATACTATAAATGCTGACTTGGGAAATCCCTTACATGTAGTGCTGAGAAAAACTACTGCTACAAATCCCTTATTTGTAGTGCTGAGAAAAACTATTGCTAACTGGTGGAATGGCTGCTAACCAGTGACCCACAGCAATGTCCCTCTGAGCTCTCCAGTCCTTCAGCTTTGTTATATGTGAATCGATGAGGATCTTTTATTTGCCATGAGTTGATTCTTCCTTAAGTGAGCCTCTCTGCTGCCAAGGTGAAGCTAATAATTACAGAGCCAGTGTGGGAGGAGCTGACTTCCTTAACACAGGTTGACCCATGTTCTTTCCTTTTCTGCTACAGTGGAAAGATTTCAGTACTTCCTGCACATAATCTCTTGAGGGCTTGAGCCACTGGTGGCCTTTTGGTTACCTCTAGTCCTCCCTCCTCATTTATCCGTATTAGCAACAGGGCTAGATCTTCTGTTTGCGACACTTGCTGGTACAAGTTTACGTGTTGTGTCCAGTTTGTTCCTGCCTTCCTTGGAGAAGCATGCTGTGTACTTGCCATTTACCTACTTTGCATTTGGAACCATGATGTGATGTGTCCCATGGAGCCACCAACAAGGGATTACAGCACAGAAATCATGGGGGAGTTAAAATTGTACAGGTCTGAGGTGATCTCCAGAGGAAGCCCTCAGAAAGGTGAAACTTGGCTCTATGGGACTGTTTGAATTTGTGACTCAGCTTCTGCTGAAGGTATCCATCTTAGGGTTGGCCAGAGAGCAAAATTTTTTCCATCCTGATCACATAGGTTTAAATGTGAGCCTGAACTGCATGGAGAAGCCTGACTCCAGTCATGTATCTTTCCTTGGATCCTTCCTTGCCATGTGAAGTGACTGGGCCTTCCCAAGAGTCCTCTGGCAGTAGATGGGCTTTAACAATTTTTGGAGCCTTAGTGAGTCTGACAGATGGAGGGCCAGCCTGCTTAACTGCTAGGGATTAACTTATCCATAGAGTGGGCCTTAGTTAGGAGAAAGATGCAAACTGGGAAACCCAGACGGCATCTTCATGTCTCCAACTCTAGCTGTGCAAATCAATCCATCCAGATACCCTTTTCCGTATTCTCAGTACCTTGGCCCCTGCTCACATTTGTTGGCAAATACATCACATATAATCAGGCTTTACTGCCTGTCTCTTTCAGAACATGGTATATATTCACATTTTTAAATGGGTTTTGTGGGGTTTATTTCACCTTTTTTTGTCCTGTTAGGAAGAACTGGGGATACCTGTATCTGATGTGAGGTTTTAATCTGGAATGTGAATTGGAGGGAGACATTTCACGTCCCTCAGTCTGGAGTCCATTTAGTTATCAAGGAGTCTGAAGTGTCTTCACAGCATGCTGCAAAGGATAGTTTGATCCATGGGGCTAACACACTGTGGAGTCAGCCTGAGCCACCTGGCAGAGGCACAACACAGGTCCTCCCCTTTCCCCAGACCACACAGTAGCGGCACCCAGCTCAGGGCCGTTTTCAGAGACCACTCAACAGAAACGATTTGCTTGTGCTACCTCTTCTCCTGTTAAAGTTTTGTACCATCTCTATGGTGGTGGCAGCATAAGAAAGTAAAAGAAACTACTGAAGGTCATTTTAGCTGCTTTTAGCATGATTTTAACAGAAGGAAACAAGGAGAACAGTAAACACTACATGACCAGCCCATTCTTTTCAAAGCTGGCAAGTGCTTAGTGAAGCATCAACTCACTGCCTCGAGGCACAACTCAAGGCTCTTTGCCGAAAGTACTGGTGATGGGCATGGGAAGAAAGGGCCAGCCAAAGAACTTGAAAACCTGAGATGAAGGAGGTATTTGGACGAGCAGGGCTGGAAGCAGCCAGAGGTGTGGTGGAAGCCTGAGCAGGGACAGAAAGGGCCCCACTTCAGTCTCCATCTGGACTCTGGAGCAAGGAAGGAGAGAAGGAAATCTATGGAAGTTTCTGTGACGTTAGTTCAGGCAGCCATAGGAATATGCCAAACCTAATGCCTGTTATCTCCCCCATCTGTCTCCCTGTGGCCTCTTCAGGCTCAATTTGTTTAAATGAGAGGTGGATGGAGCTTTGTTTGCAGCACACAGGTCTAGCCTGTGTTTTGTTGTGGAGCAGTTCAGATACCTTTGGGGCAATTTAGCGAATGAAATGTTTGCCTCTTGGTCACTCACTGGCAGGAAATGGCTGATCCAGCACTAGTGGTTGCTGTCAAAAATCTTGCCAATAAAAACAGGAGTGAGGTAGATGGTTGAAAATAGAGATAGGCCCAAGCGAGCAGCTGGATCTATACATCATGTGAGCCTCCATCACTGCAGTGGGACTACGCAGATGCCAGATGCCCTCTGGCCATAAAATAGAGGGATACAGATGTGTTTTCCACCAGCTCCTGACACTCAGCCTGCTTCAGTTTTTTTCTTCTGTAAGTTGCTGAATTAGTCTCTTCATAGGTAGTAGAAGGACATTTCTTTGGTCGGAAACGTGTAGCTCTAATTGGCTCAGTATTCCTTTCTTTCCAGGCTTGCAGCATTGCAGTCATGGCAGGTCTATCGAGTGTTTTCTGTCCGCTGAGGGATAGGCAGGTGAAGGGTCTGGTTCTCAATTCATCTGGCTTGTCATTTTTATCAGGCCATGTCCTGCCCCCTTGGTCATTACAGGATAAGAAAGGCATTTTACTGTATTTTCTCAACCTTTAGCTTGTCCGTCATTCCATGAGCAGGCTGCAGCAGAGAAAGAGATAAACGGAGGGGGAAGGGCTGGTTCAGGCCATTAGAGCCTCTGCAGTAAGAAAAGAGACAGAAGGTACGGCTGCTTTAGAGAGGGATGTTAGAAGGTCAGGAAGAGGGGGGTGATGACAGGGCTACGAGTCCAGGGAAAACAGAGCTGCAAAGTTTACATAGGAACCCACGGGAGAAGGCTGTGGGCAACTGCCTGTTTTGCTTGTCTTTAAAGGCAGCTCTGAAAGGGGGTGGGGGAAACATCCAAGCACAGCGCAGAAAGGGGAAGAAGAGGGAGTCTCCTGCGGGCTGGTGTGAGAAGGGCAGACAGACCATCTCTGGGGCATTGCGGGATGTGGCTGTTGCCAGATGTGCCTGCAGAAGAAATCGTAAGGTCCAGCCATGTGTAACACGTAAAATGGGAAGCTCCTAGTACAGTAACAGAGAAAGTATCAGCTCTTGAAGGGAAAATTATGCTACTGGGCATTCAGCATGTCGGGATAAAGCCTGCCTGCTGGTGCTGGGGTTCGGCAACCAGGCTGCTGGCAAACTCCCTCCCCGCTGGTGTAAATATAAGCGCCTCAGCCTGTTGGACAAGCCCTCCTCGCAAAAATAAACACGGCAGCTCCACCAGCCCGCTGGGAACGCTAGCTGGGGCCCTCCATGCGCTTTGGGAGCACCTCTTCAGGGCTGGGTACACCCCAGCCGGCAACACCAACCCTCGCTAGCTGCCACATCTCCGTGGCAGCCCAAACCACCCCAACGCTTTCTGACCAGCGGCAGGAGAACGCTGCAAAGCATGAGAAAGGGGTTAGCGGGTCCATCATCATCTCCTCCTCCTCCTCCTCCCTCAGGTGAGCGGCGGAGGCCGCGCCCCCTCGCCTCGCCCCGCCCCTCGCCCCGCTCGCCCGTGCCGTGATGCGGAGGTGCCCCCTGCTGGACTCCGCTGACACCAACCACACCATGGAATTAGGTTGGAAAAGACCTTTAAGAGCGTCAAATCCAACCGTTACCGGGTGCGGGGGGTGAGAAGGAAGAATGGCGGGTTGCAGGTTTGGATACGGCGTGGGGAAAACACGCCATTCCCGTGCTCTGCCCACTCTCAACGTAAAGGTTCGTCTTCATGTTGAGGTGAAACTTCCTGTGTTTTAGTCTATGGACATTGCTCCTTGCCCTGTTGCTGGGCACCACTGAAAAGAGTCTGGCACCATTCTGCTGTCACCTGCCTTTGAGATATTTATATTCACTAATGAGATCCCCTCTCGGTCTTTTCTTCTCCAGACTAAACAGGCCCAGCTCTCGCAATCTCTCCTCGTAAGAGAGATGCTCCAGACCCCTGATCATCCTTGTGGCCCTCCGCTGGGCCCTCTCCAATAGCTCCTTGTCTGTCTTGTACTGAGGAACCCAGAAATGGACACAGTAACTCCAGACGTGACCTCACCAGGGTCCAGAAGAGGGGAAGGATCACCTCCCTCAGTTTGCAGGACACACTCCTCCCAGTGCACTCCAGGATACAACCCAAACAGCTGGTAAGTGGCTGTATTGTTAAAAGGCTACAAATGTACATTAGCCCAGTGTCCAGACAGATATCACAGTAAATCAGTCAATGATTTTCTGTGCCAGGAGCAACCACCTTGGTGGATCACTGAAAAATGCTCAAGACCAGGTTCTTGCCTTTGTCATTCACTTTAGAAAGTCTTTGCCTCTCTCTCTGACTGTATTTTTCACCGGCAGCCAAGGAACATGAGGGTTGGAGGTCCTCAAGCTGTAAGTGGAAGAACAACTAGTGCAAAGGTGTACTTCAAAGCAGCTGTAACTCACTCCCTTGTGCTAGCAGAAGCAGGTTTGAAGCCCCGCTCTGCAAGGAATTAAATACTTTCAGTAATGTCTCCAATGCCAGCATGAATTTTGCCAGAGCAGGAGGAGCTGCAAACACTTTTGAGAAATTAAAGAGGTCCTGGCAAGTTGAGGAAATTATGTAAAACAAACAGTAGATAATTCAGTTAAGGCAAAGGCACTTAAGGAGGAATAACCATCTGTACAAATGCACAACCCTGCAATACCAGAGCTTTTACAGCTCTGCAGAAAGGGCTCTGTGAGTTAAAGTGCGTTAGAAATGAATTAAGGTTGGCGTTCATGGCAACGCAAGCATAAATCAAATTACACTGTTTGTGTAATCGGTGTCTAAAGTCATACGTGTTAAACCTGCTGTATCATGGGAGCCAGGAGATCTTAAGCCTAGCCAGAAAGCAAACAAACACTTTCATTTCCATGGAGGTGAAATGAATCTTTTGCTTTACACAGGTCTGGAAGGGCCTCAGATGAATTCAGTGTCAAGATTTCTGTCCCATGCCACAGGAAAAGAGGGAGCCCCTGGAACACAGCCCATCAGGCAGCAAGAAAAAGGACCAGATTTCTAGAAAACTTTACAATCTGTGGGAAAAGATCAGCCTTGTTCGGACTGGAGAAGAGAAGTCTCAGGAAAGACCTTGGAGCAGCCTTCCACTACCTAAAGGGGGACTACAGGAAAGTTGCAGAGAGGCTTTTTACAAGCACATGTAGTGACAGGACAAGGGGAATGTTTTTAAACTGAAAGATGGCAGATTTAGATTAGACATTAGGAATTCTTTGCCATAAGAGTAGTGAGACACTGGCACAGGTTACCCTCCGTTCCTGGCAGTGCTCGAGGCCAAGTTGGACAGGCCTTTGAGCAACCTGGTCTAGTGGAAGGTGTTCCTGCCCATGGCAGGGGGTTGGAACTGGATGATTTTTAAGGTCCCTTCCAACACAAACCATTCTATGATTCTATGAAAAAACACCACAAGGCTTGGATTTGCATAGAAAAGACTGTGCAAAGGCAGGGCAGCAGCTGGCAGGGGTAAAAAGTTGCAATGAAGAGGCTTCATATGGGCACTGTGGGCAGAGTAAGTTTTAACCATCTGAAATTGAGACCAGGCTACATTCTGGGACACCTTTGTATCCCTGAGGCCTGCACCACACAGTTGCCCTCACAAAACCAAGCCCTCAAACTTCGGTTTTGTGAATAAGTTAGATAAACCCGGTGAAATTGCTTTGTGGAGCGCCTAAGCCTTTCGGTCGCTCCTGCCCAGATCCCTCCTCATCAGTGTCTCTTCACACCTCTCTCACCGCGGGGCTGCTCGCCCCCCTTTCTCCTCTTTCCTCTGCCATGTCAAGCCCCACCGCCTTAGCCCCGTTTCCAACACTAATTCTGCCACACGCGCCATCTACAGCTCCTCTCACAGCTCTCCCCAAGCCTCCAACCCGAACTGCGGACGTCACGGCGTGCACCTGCCCTTTCCTCTGCCGCGCTCTGTCCTCTGCCGCGGCCCCCCGCCAAGCTCCGCCCGCCCCAGTACCGCCCCGCCGCTCCCCGCGCCTCGCTGGGAGCTGTAGTCCGGGAACTACGAGCCCCGGCGTGCCCCGCCACCGGCCCCGGCGCCGGGTGGAGCGGCGCAGGATGGCGCTGCGCGGCTGCCTGCGGGCCGGGCTCGGGCTGGGGCTGGGGCTGGGGCTGGGGCTGGGGCTGGGGCTGCTGCGCGCTGCGGGTCCTCGGGGTCCGCCCGCTCGCGGGCGCTGCGCCGGGGGCCGGGTGAGCCGCGGCGCCGGGAGCGGTAGGCCGGGCCCGACGGCCGCGTCCTTGTTGTGGGCCAGGAAGGGCGCCGCGGGCTGGGGCCGGGTGCAGGGAGGGGGAGAGGAGAGGAGAGGAGAGGAGAGGAGAGGAGAGAGAGGGGAGGGGAGGGGAGGGGAGAGGAGAGGAGGACTACCTGCGTTAGGTGACCGTCCCCTCCGCTCGCCTTGCAGCCGCCGGCCTTTGGGTTCCTGTTCGACGTGGACGGGGTGCTGGTGCGGGGCAGCCAGGTGGTGCCCGCCGCCCGTCTGGCCTTCCAGAGGCTGGCGGACAGCAGCGGGCGGCTCCGGGTACCCGTCGTCTTCCTGACCAACGCCGGCAACTGCCTGAGATCGGCCAGGGCCCAAGAGCTGTCCCATGCGCTGGGGCTGCAGGTAACGACAGCGGGCCGGGGGGCGAGGGGGCTCCTCCTGCAGGTCAAAGGGACCTCACGGCGCTGGGAAGCGGCTTCTTCATCGCTCCCCCGTTCGACTGTCCCGGCCTTGGAGGGGAGCACCGGGAGGAGGAGGGAGTTCCCCAGGAGGGATGAAGGGTTAGGAGTGGCGGCACCACCGAGCGACCAGCCTGTCTTGGTCCGAGGGGTGGAGGGAGGCCGGTAGCAGCACGGGGAGGGGAAGCGACCCGACCGCAGTAAAAGGGAGGAAATCTTTCCAGCAGATCCTCCATCACCCTCTCCTCCCTCCTGCAGGTGTCCCCGGAGCAGGTGATCCTGTCCCATAGCCCTCTGCGCCTTTTCAGCCAGTTCCACCACAAGTGCATGCTGGTGGCTGGACAGGGGCCCGTGGAGGAGAACGCCCAGGAGTATCCTTTGCTGTTCATGCCTTAGGGTGCCCTGTGTGTCCTGCTGCTGCTTCCATCCTGGCCCTGGTACTTGCTCCATCAGCTTTTAGAAGCACAGGGAGACAGAGGAGTCACAGTCTTATGGGAGGCACCCTCAAGGAGAGGCCTGAATGCAGGCAGTAACTGTTGATCTCCATCTTGGTCACCTCCTACGTGTCCTTGGTCAGTGTTTTGCTTCTCACACTGATGACCTGTCCTGATTGCTGTTCCTGTTGGTGGGGTGTCACTGTAAGGACTTTATCAGCTTTGGGTCTCGCTGACTTTTGAGATAAAATTGTGCTCCTCCCATTCGTTCATAGCGAAGTGCATTAGAGATGGCTCCCAACTCTCCCACAGCTACGGCTTTCCCCCAGGAATCTGGCAAGTACTTGAAGGAACTCAAATATCTTTACAATCAGTGTGTCAATCCCAGATGCATACTGCCTGGCTGAGGCTAGGGCACAGCAACTCTGACTAACCTTGTATCTTCGAGGAGGTCAGAACTGCCTGTATGGTTTGTGATATCTCAGCCTGTGCACACAGAGTCACACCCTGTCCTTAACATTTAACTTCCTTTGGTGCAAAACCTTGGCCTGTCTCAGTTTCCCAAGGACAATAGGGTGAGCTGAGGGTGAGGAGTTCTGCAAGTAAATGGAACGCATCTCTCACTTGTGTAGTTTCATCAGCATAGACCATTTTCTTTTCCCCAGCTGAGCTGACCAGAGCTTCAGAGATTCTGCTTCTAGCCAAGAAGCCTGACCGGTCCCCTGCACCGCACCAATATGAGAACCCTGGCCTTAAAAAGCTCCCAAAACACATCCACCTCTGCTCTTTGTCTAATTTCAGGGATGGCTGATCACAAACTAAATCACCCCAGTCTGGGTGTTTTTGTAACCTTTAGGGCCACCTGTAGGTTGACGCACAGCATACAGTTTGACTGAAGGCCACAAGGTTATGCTTTACCAGGTTAAATAACTCCTCTATTACTAGGACTTGTATTCCTTAATCCTGTAAATGCTTTTGCCATTAACTTAAAAATCTCAGTCACTTAAGAAGAACCCAAAACCTCAACAAAACCCCAAAACCACTCTCCACAACTTTCCTTAATGGTCTGAAATAGGCTGGGGTTCAAGCATGTGGTCACCATAGAGGCACTCAGGAAGGCATATCCCCTGTTAGACATGGTGGATCAGAGCCGGAGGCCAAAAGAGCTGGTAATTTCTTGGCGCATCAATAGAGACGGTGGTCTGCTGTGGCGGTGCTCACAGTGTATAGCATGGGGTGGAGAAGCTGCAAAGGCTCAGAGTGACTGGTTGCTAGTGACTTACTTAAGCAAGAGGCTAAGACTTAATGCTGAGCAGCCAGCATCTCTCTGCTCTTTCAAGCATTGGCTCCTGCAGGAAGGGCAGTGACTTTCCCCTCTCCTTTCTTATGCCATACTTGTCTTTCATTCCTATTCCTTGCAGCAAGTTTGGTTTGGTTGGCATCTCCAGCTCTAGGACAGGAATGCAAAATCTGTGAAATCCAATCTGGTGGGGGGGTGGTGAAAGTCTTTCTTTGGGATTCCAGGTGGCCTTGTCCTTCCTCTTTATGTGGCTGCCTTGGCAGGTTCAAAGGAAGCATTTATAGTTTGTTTTGGAGATGGCATTAGGTTTTGCATTACTAACCTACCCTTGTTCTTTTTTTTCCTGGCAGCCTCCTCCAACCACTGGCTTCCCCACTATAGAAGGTAAGCAATAGCCTTTGTTTACATATGAACAGCAAGCAGAAATAATAGCAAGGCAAAGCCAGCTGGGATGGGAGCTGACGATGTGCTGTCAGTTCATATGTATCCACAGGCAGCTTATTCAGAGGATAGAGTCAGGAGGCAGCATCACTGCCCTTGTGCAGCATGAAGCACAAGCTTGATAAGAGCAAAACCAGCTTTTCCCTGTGCCACGCTCCAGTATCTGGGACCAGTGGTGCATATGGTGCAGTAACATACAGACTGGAGCTCTAGCACCAGACATGTTCCAGTGGTAGCTGTATTAGCCAGGGCATCCCAGCAAAGGAGTGGTTTTGCTAGCAGGTGGCTTTGGTAGCGGGTCCTATACATGGGTGCTGTGAGTTTTCAAGCATCTCTTGAAATCTTCTAGGGGTGATTCTGTTTGGTGAGCCAGTGAGGTGGGAGACAAGCCTGCAACTTATTACTGATGTACTCCTGAGCAATGGCAACCCTGATTCAGAGCTTCAAGATATACCATACCCCCATCTGCCTGTCCTTGCCTGCAACATGGACCTCTTGTGGATGGCTGAAGCCAAGATGCCCAGGTGAAAAGCATTTGTTTTTGCCTATTTCATACATCTCTCCTGCAGATGATCTTACTACATTTTTTAGCATTTGACTGGTTTAGAGTTTGACTGTATGGCATTATTAGCAGCAGAGATATGAAAACTGCATGAGAAAGAGTTAAGCTTTCAAGAAGCAAAATCCAGGCCACTGCATGTGGAGGTGTGTGTGTGTAGATAACATGACCAGCTTAGGCAGTAGCCTGGCTACAGCAGCTGGTCCTCCTTACTGAGGACTGTTCGCTACTCCAGTGGTGTGACTGGAGATACTGATGACCTCCTTTCTGGAGCAGGATTGGACATGGCACTTTCCTTCTCTGCTTAGA